AAATATGTTTGCGTGTTGCATTCGCTGCCCTCTTTTTGTTTAATAGGGCTTAAATTGCGCCAAACGCAGTTATGCTCGTTTTCTGTGAAATATTCCTTTAAAAAATTCTTATTTTGACGTTGTCATAATATTTATGAACTTTTGTTTTACTAATATTACGCTTGTTTACACTTCGGTGTTTGGGTTGCGTTTACTGTTCAGTACCGTGAATTTGCAGGATATAGGGCATCCCGCTAAAATATGTCATTTTTTGTTTTACGCTATATAGCACCCGCAATTAACACACTTAATTTAATTTAGGAAATTTTTAGACTTATTTCTCTATGCATTATTCACTATCCATCCTTCTTCCCCACCCATAAACCCCCGAATCCCACCAGTCCCGTAAGACAGTAGGCTGGGGTTTTAAAAACCTGGGTGGGGCTAAACAAGCTTCTTCTGCCCGGAACTGGGTTTGATGGATGTAGTGCTGTGGATACAGACAGTGCTCAGACCTTGCAATGCTTCTCTTGATAAAAAGTACAAGTATTCTTGAATAAATGGCTTGTACATGTGACTGAACACCTAGACGGCATCCAAAAGAGCTTTAATTTCAGCAGCGCATTTTAAAGTCAATTCTGCGTCAGAAAAGGTTACTGAAAAGTATTTTAAATGCTTATAAAAATGCGAGGGTATCCCCCTGAGGAGAAGCACTCACCATGAATCCAAAGTCGATGCTCGAAATTTCGCTTTGGATCAGGGCCCAAGTGGCCCACCAAATGTGAGAAAAAAGGGCACCAAGTGTGGTCTCTATGATGAGTTCATCTTCTTCAGCAGGCTCCAAAGTGACCTTTGGAATGGATGCTATCTCATCCAGTTCAGAGAAATGGAGGGCTTTTTCACTCTCTTTGCCGTTGACTGACGAAGTTCCCGCCTCGGTAAAATCCGGCGAGGAGCTGGTTTTCAGAAAATCACCCACAGCAGAGGTCTGTAGAGTTAGGGAGGCAGAGTGCGTCCGCCGACTTGGTGCGTAGGCGCCAAACATAATTGACTTTTCGCAAACAAAGTTGTACACGCTCAGATACTTTCGCCAAAACTTGAGCTGAAAACGACAGCAAATTAATCAACTCGGGTCAGTTAAGTCTATTCAAAAACTTTGTGCAAAGAAGTTAACGATGTGGCAAAACAAGGCAGGTACAATGAGAAGATTTACTCTGCGGTCGGCACCTGTCGACGAAGTCATTAAGGCACAGCTGACAACTGCAGCACGACTAAAACATCGTTGCGGATAAACAAAGGACAGCTGGCGAGGCCAACCAACCCAATTAGTTCCCCACGGCAATAGCAAAATGGCTAAGTGTCAGTCATGTCTACAAACTAAACGTACCAATGGAAATGCTGGGGACCGACAGATAAGGCCAAGCAATTAAAGGCGCGCACCAGACAACTGCCGAAAAGCGACAGAACAGGGGGGGGGAGACTGGGATTCTATGCAGCACCAGTGATGGGAGTACGGTGGGATAATCTTTGGCACATAACGTATGACTGCTAGGGCAGAGATAGTAATGTGGTTCGTCCGCGGAGATCAACAATATTCGATCAACATTTTTGAAATAAAAACCCGAGGTCAAGTCCAACAAACCCAGTTTCTGTGAGTTGTTTTAGGGATGGCACGATTTTGCCGTCTATAGATTGTACTACTGAACAATATATTCGGCAGACCTAAAGGTAAGGATGACTCATATGACCCTCTAAATAGGACGCGGTAGTAGAAGCACCCCGCCTAAGTAATAAAGGTGGCCCAGCGCATAATTCCAGGAGGGGTAAATATTTCCCCTGACATAAACATCAACTGCTGTCCCAGTTCTAACCCTAGCCCTAGCCTCAACTCTCAACCCAGCAAAAAACTAAACCTAACCTTAAACTGAACTCTGACCTAATTTAGGTAACAATAAGGTTGTTCTACCACCTTAGATACTCCTAGCCCCGTGGTTACTTTTATTTTTATTACTCTTACTCTAGCTAAGTTGATTATTTAGGTTATTCGTTTAATTTTAGTTCGGTTAGATACCTTCAAGGTTAGGTAGATATACTTAAAAACTATTCGGTTGTCCCTGTTGTAACGGTAGCCAAATCTGAGATGTCACCGCCTAATTATGTCTTGTGTGAGCCCCCAAGAAGGAACACGAAAAGAAGTGGGCAAAAGCAGAAGTCCTTGAGCGTATATGGTACAACATATTTAGGGCAACAAACGAGTGTAAGCTATGTAAATCAAGCCAATAAGCTTCAGTCCTGGCTGGCTAGTAGCCCTTGTTGAATCCGGAGCCCCGCCGGGTGAGCCTCAATCCCGGCGGCGAGGAGGATGAGGAGGAGGAGGAGGAGGAGGAGGAGAATGGTCGGGAAAGGCTGCTTTGTCATCAAAAACACAGATGGAGAAGAGGAGAGATAGATCT